CGGCGGGGGGATGGGGGCGCGGCGCGGAGCGCGCCCGCGAGCTGTTTACTCGCGGCCAAGGGGAGGAGTGTGTGCGGCGCCGGGTGCCTCGGCAAGCCGGCTGCTGCGGCTCTCCTCCCCTGCGCCGTCCCCGCCCTGGGCCGTCGGAACTGCGCGCTCGGCTCCTGCGGCTGCGGCGCGCCCGGGGGCCGGGGAAGGGCCCGGGGCGCCGGGCGCAGCCGGGGCGCTGGCGTGCGGGTGTGTGCGCGCGGGTGTGCGCTGGACGCGGGCCCGGCCGGGCAGGGGGAGGGGAGGCTCGAGGTGCTGCTCGGGCTCCTGCCGAGCTGCGCAGCGTGGGCGCCGCCAGCCCGTGCCTGCCGAGGGGAGGCTGGTCCGGGCCGCCCGGGGAGGAAGGTGGACGCAGAGAGAGAAAGGATCGCAGCCCGCGACCCCTCCCCAAGCCAAGCAGGAGTCCGGCCCAGAACGCGGCTCTTGTGTGGTCGGGCTGCCTTTATCCGTTTGATCTGACATCCTTACTTCCTCTTTAGTAGCCCTGAGGCCGTGTGCGTGGTGCGGGACGGGGACCCGTGCAGACCGCGCTCTCGGCTCTGGCCGGTGTCTCCGAGGAGGGGGTGAAGTCAGGTCGGAGGTTCCACTCACAGGCGGTGGGCTACCGTCTGCCTGTATCCATCAGCTTTGTTGCTTTCCTTGCTGAGACACCACACAGGGCAGCTCTGGAGTCCTGGCTTGGAGTGGTGGGCTTATTTGCTGAATCGGAGTGACAGTCCTTGCTGCAGGTCTGTGGAATGGAAACACCCACCTTTGCGGACTCTGCTGCTCTTAGGACATTGACACTTACACACGCCCATCTGAGTTGCATGACAAAACTCTTGCAGCTCTTTACACGAAAAATGGAAACAGCCCCTCCCTGCCGCCCACCCGTTTATTCATGGGTAGTAAAATGGACATAATTTTAGGGTCTTGGGAGGCAGAGAGGCAGTCTTGACTTTGACACACGAGGTCGACTGTGCCAGTCCTTGGTATTAAACATCTCAAACTTCTCCAGTGGTTTGTATCTGGTGCCTCGCTTTCTCCATTTAGTATCCAGCCAGAACATCCTACAACTTAAATGTAATCCATCACCACAATGATTTGCAACAATTTGTTCCCCTGCCTTTTAGATTCAAAATTTCAGCTTGTTTTTTTTTTCTATTTATGGGCTTTTTTGGGGGGGAGGAGGGAGAATCACTGAGTTAAAAATCGTGTTATTATTAAAGTTAGCAGGAAGAGCAGCTGGTAATTGTGATGAATCTACTTGTTCTCATTGCTTCCAGAGCATTTAAAAGTGTTTGTAAGTTGATATTAGGATTTCCTTCACCTTTTGGTCACATACTTTGCCAACTGTTAGACATTTGTTGATTTTAAATCTCAACAGTTTCAGTGTATCTTCGTCCTGTCATCTTGGCTGGTGCATGTTGTTATACTTGGTTGTTAATTCCTAAATCTTTAAAATACAAAAAAATGGTTCTAATAGGCATTATTGTTAACACATATATGAAAGAATGGCACATAGAATTTCAGAGTCGTAAAGACCCTAAAGATGAACTAGCCCTTTGATTTTCTAAATAAGGGAACAGATCTGGAGAGGTAAAGCAAGTCTTCCTCAAGGACCATGGCCCTGGGCTTGTAGAGCTGGGACTAGCTCCTGTCTTCCAGGCTCCTGTGCTCTCCGCTAGAGGTTGAGTAAGACAGCTCCATCTTCTCACTGGATGTGTTGAAAGGGTTACAAGAAGGCGTCCTTTCCTAAATCAAGATCAACTCTAGTTAAAAGTGTATTACTTAGTCTTGGAAAGAAAGTTATTCTTCAGGGCTTATTACAGTAGAGCTTCCAAAGATGTTTGCCTTTTAAAATGTTTCCACACACACCCCCTTCAATCTTTCTCTTCCCCCAACAAACTAGTAAGACTATGGAGAGAAAGCCACACGACCTTCATTTGGTTCCATCTCCTGATACATAAAAAGAACCGACGGAGTTTTAAGATTCAAGAACATCTAAAAATTGCCAGTCTATCTTGGGGCAAAGTCAGAGGGAGACTGGGTGGGGAGGTGGTCTGGGTGGGGTGAGCGATGATGTGTATCTTTAGGTCCAGGAAGTGTGTGGTCTTTCTTGCCTTATATAGTCTTACCTTTTCTATTTGAAACTTTTAATTCTTAGAAGTCAGCTCTTAACCTCACTGATTCACTTTAAGAAACGTTTATGTAGAACCCTTCTAGAAGAGTTTTGCTCCTTCATTGTGGGTAGGGAGCTCCTACTGGGACTCCCTGCCTTGGAGTTTGTACAGGAGTGCCTTGTTCTCCATGAAGCTATTTGTAAAACAATCACTTCTTAGTTCCTCCCTCATCTCTTAAATGCTGTATTTGTGAGGTGAATCTTGAGTTTTGCTAGGAATTTTAGTTTGAGGACATAGCCTTGCTCTTGATAACCTGAATCACAAGTCGTCTTGGTTTGTCTTTACATGTGGCCAAGTAAGGGGTGACAGAGGATGACATTTTCTGTCCTGCTAACGCTGGGTACAGGAGCCTGCTAGGTGAGGTGGACACCACTTCAACAGTCAATCCTGCGGTGACCTCTCAATCTTGCTAGAGAAGGAAAATGCCTTTTCCCAACTCTGTTTTAGGAGAGTAAAAAGAAAGAGAAAAAGGATAGGCCAGTGTGGTTTTCAGTTTTTTTTTTTTTTGCTATGAAAAGGAACTAGGAGCTATCGCTACAAACAAACAAATTTGGCATTTGGCACTTCTGCATTTGTAACTGTGTTTCTTCTGTTTTCCTCTTCACAAGACACACATCATTTTTCTTGCAGTGTTAGGGGGACCAACCATCCTGGTTTGTGCAGGGCTGATGAGTTTCCCAGCATGTGGGACTAAAACTGGCAAAATTTCAGGCAGATTGGGAGAAATTGGTCACCCTATGCAGCATAGAACACACTCAGCTATGTCGTTAACATAATAATGTAATTATTTCCTCACAGATGGACATTAAGAGGTTTATTTATATCTTTGGTAAAGTGAGATAATTTCAAGTTTGGGAAGGAAAGTTTTTTTTTTTTTT